TTTGGTAAGATGGCTATTTTCACTATGTTAATCCTACTGATCCATAGGCATGGGATATCTTTCCATCTTCTGGTATCTTTCTTCAGCAACTTGAAGTTCCTGTCGTATAGGTCTTTCATTTGCTTGGCTTGAAGGTATTTTATATCATTCACGGCCATTGTGAAGAGTGATATTTCCCTAGTTTCCTTTTCAGCCCATTTATCACTTGTATAAATGGGTTCTACTGATTTTTTTTTTTTTTTTTTTTAGTTATTTTTGTAACCAGCCACTTTGAAGTTATCAGCTGTAATAGTTCCCTGGTAGAATTTTTGGAGTTGCTTATGTATACTACCATATCTTCTGCAAATAGCAATACCTAAACTGTTTCCTTTTAAATTTGTATCCACTTAACTACCTTTTGTTGTTTTATTTTTCTGATTAGGCTTAAGTACTCTATTAAATAGATAGGAAGAGTGGAAAGCCTTATTTTGTCCCTGAATTTAGGAATATTGCTTTATGTGTCTCACCATTCATTTTGATGTTGGCTATTGGCTTGTTATATATCGCCTATTTTGTTTAGGTTTATATCTTATATTCCTGATCTCTCTAAGACTTTTAATATAAATAGGGTGTTAGGTTTTGTCAAAGGTTTTTTTTTTTTTGCATCTAATGAGATGATCATGTAGTTTTTTTTTACTTTCAATATGTTTATATGGTGGATTACCTTGAAAGATTGTTTTATACATTTACTCAACCCTGCATCACTAGAATGAAGCCTACTTGATGATGGTGTGGGTCCTTGTGGCTGGAAAGCAGAGAAGGGCCCCAAAAGACATGTGGAGTCTGGAATTCCAAGGCTTTATTGTTCATGGCGAGCGTAGAGCGTAGATGGTCTGGATGTGCACCCCCACTTAAGCCAGAGTGGCCCTGGCTTAAATAGGGAGGGGGAAGAAAGGAAGGTTTCTTAATTAGCTACTCCCTCTGGCCTTTAGGTAACTGATTAATATGGAAATCTCTTGAGGCTGAAGCCCATAATCACACTCTCTTGCTATGTTAGGTGACACCCCATTGAGAGGGTCTATAGGTCTGTATAGCTAAACATGACTGCAAAGTGCAGGTTAAATGGGGGTCTAGTCTATGTTTCAGGAGCCTGGATTCTGGGGCGTGGCCAAACACTTGCTGTTTCCTCATTGGGGTCACGGTTCAGGGCCCATGCCAAGCCAAGAATCAAGATATTCTTTCACAGCCCGACAATGGTGGATGATATTTTTTATGTATTTCTGGAATCAATTTACAAGTACTTTATTGAGTATTTCTGCGTCAATGTTCATATGAGACCTTGGTCTGACATACTCTTTCTTTGTTGAGTCTTTGTGTGGTTTAGGTATCAAGGTAATTATGGCTTCATAAAATGAGTTTGGCAGTGTTCCTTCTGTTTCTATTTTGTATAATAGTTTGAGGAGTATTAATATTAGCCCTTTATTGAAAGTCTGGTAGAATTCTGTGCTGAAACTATCTAGTCCAGGGTTTGTTTTGGTTGGGACATTTTTAATGAGTGCTTCTATGTCCTTAGGGGTTGCAGGGCTACTTAAATAGTTTACCTGATCTTGATTTAACTTTGGTAAGTAGTATCTGTTTAGAAAATCATACATTTCATTAAGATTTTTCAGTTTTGTGTAGTACGGGCTTTTGAAGTAAGACCTGTTGGTTTTTTAATTTCCTCAGTTTCTGTTGTTATGTCTCCCTTTCCATTTCTTATTTTGTTTATTTGGATATTATCTCTCTGTCTTTTAGTTAGCTTAGATAAAGGTTTGTCTATCATGTTGATTTTCTCAAAGAACCAGGTCTTGATTTTGATGATTCTTTATATTGTTTTCTTTGTTTATAATTGATTGATTTCAACCCTTATTTTAATTATCTCCTTCCTTCTACTTTTCTTTTATGTGTTTGTTTCTTTTTTTCTAGACCTTTCAGATATACTATTAAATTGCTGGTATGAGAACTTCTCACTTTTTGTATGTTTTTTGTATGTTTACAGCCATACTTTCCTTTTGGTTTGGAAAGTTTTCATCAGTGGTTTTGTTAAAAATATTTTTTGGTGCTTGGAGCTGATACACTTCACCTCCTTTTATTCCTATTATTTTTAGGTTAGTACTTTATGTGGTGTCTCAGATTTTCTGGATGTTTTGTATCAGGAAGCTTTTAGATTTAACATTTTCTTTCACTGATGTGTCAATTTCTTCTATAGTATCTTCTATGTCTGAGATTCTCTCTTCCATCTCCTTTATTATGTTGATGGTACTTGTATCTGTTGTTCATGTTCTCTTCCCTAGGTTTTCCATCTCTAGAATTCTCTCAGTTTGTGTTTTCTTTATTGCTTATAATCCATTTTTTTAGATCTTGGAGAGTTTTGTTTCCATCACGTTTAATTTTATTTCCTGTATTTCTGTAAGGGATTAATTTCTCTTTAAAGTCCTCTCCACATGTTTGATTGTATTTTTCTCTATTTCTTATGGAGATTTGTTCATTGCTTCTTTAAAGGCTTCTATCACTTTTATAAGATTGAATTTAAGGTCATTTTCTTGTGCTTCAGTTGTGTTATGTTATCCATGGCTTGCTGTAGTAGGGTAGCTGTGCTCTGAAGGTGTCAAATTATCCTGGCTGCTTTTGATTGTGTTTTTCTTTTCGAGAGCCTTTAAACATATGAATGGCTTTAGTCCCTGGATGTTCCTGTTATAGCATGTATTGGGATTCGGTCTAACCTGGTGATCCTGGTATGGTAGTCCTCTGGTGGGTATCACTGGGCTGTAAGTTTCCAGATCAGTAAGTCTGATGAAGGTGGACTGAGAAGTGGTGAAACAACGGAGGTCCGGTGGAATAGCAGGTAGTTGGGTATATCCCAGAGGACTCAGCAGGCAGAGAAGATGAGTGCAGAAAAGGAATCTAACCTGCATGTTTCTGGATCAGAAGGTCTGATGAAGGTGGGCAGAGAAGTGGTGTGATAATCCATCTATCTGATTTTGTCAAGTATTTTCAGATTTTATGTCAGTCCCTCCTTGGGTTTCAGTTTGCAGTTTAGCCAATTTTTTGGGGGGGAGTGGGGTTAGTTTTCAGGTTCTCTAAGATGTGTGTATGTGTGAGTATTGTATGCATATATGTAGATGTGATGTGGTGACTAAATAAATGACAGAAACAACTTAGAAATAGAAGGGTGTTTATTTGGGCTACAGTTTCAAGGGTTCCATACACTGTCATTGGGTCCCTTGTGCTCCATCAGAACATCATGGTGGTGAGAGCATGTAATGGAAATATCTTTACCCTGTAGAAACCAGAAGCATGTTCTTTCAACTAATTCCCATCTCATAAAGTTTCCAGATAGTGTAACTCCAATAGTGTGATTCTATTTACTGAACCTTTGCAGTGTTATACAAATTGCGGATATACCAAAATCTTCTTCAGGTCTCACAGCACAGTTTTATGAGTTTGTTTCAAACTGTTGCATTTCCTTTAAGGATATTACCAAAATAAACTGACTATATATTTACATACATGTTTATAAGTTACATGTTGGTATTTTTCAGTACTATAGAGTGGATTATCCATTCAATGTCATTTCCCTTCAGTATAAACAAGTTGCCTTAACATACCTTCTTGTGTAGGTACTGGCAATGAACTCTATATTTTATAGATCTCTAATATTTTTACTTAGCTCTGTTCTTGAAGAATGTTTCTATAAATATAAAATTCTAGTTTAGTCATTTCCCCAAAATACATAGGAAGTCTAACATCCCACTGATACTGACTGATATTTCTGATAAGACAGTTGTTATTATTTTGTGGATATGTTTTTTTCTCTAGTTGTCTTTAGATATATTTTTTACTTAGTCCTTGATTTTTAGTTATTTAATGCATTTCTGACAAGGTTTCATTTTTCATTATTTTTTGCATTTATTTCTCTCTATGTGAGTGTGATTGCCCTTAAGTTTTCTTTTTTACCTTTTCTCCACATTCCCCTCCAACTACATACATATCTGATCAGTCCTCAGTGTCTTTTAAATAGTACCCCTCATTATTTTAATCAGCCTTTCTTCAGATCAGATACAATCTAGTGATGGGTGTACAACGTTCACATATGCTGTCTTCTAAAATGATGTTTTTTTTTTCAAATTTTTATTATTAATTATAGAGGTTTCCTCATGACATTTAGTAACTTATTTGTAATGAACAATTTTTTGAAAATATTGTATTTTTATTGACAAGCAGCATAGTATTCATGTACTCATATTTCTGTTTTAAGAATCAGGAGATTTCATGCATTATGTAGACTCATATGAAAATGTAAAGGTCTCTTTTAACATTTGACTATTTTATACATGCACATAGTGCATTTAAATAAGTTCTATCCATATTTCTCCCATCTAATTCTTCCTTTATTTTCTACATTACTATGCCCTGCTGATTCATTCACTTACCACTCTCCCTTTTCTTTTAATTACACTAACAGAGCCCTCTTTGTTTTCTGTATGTGCATAGGTATAGGATCATCCACTGAGGCATGAGTAGCTTCTCCCAGATCACATCCTTGAGTAATGACTTTATTAACCCCTAAACAGTCATCGATAGTATCTCAACTAGTAATGTGACTTCATGAGCCTCTGTCTCATCTGTGACTTGGACTAGATTGATCTCATATAGGTCTTTAACATGTCACAATCATAGAGACATTGGGTGTCATATACAGCAAATATTATTTAATTGCAAATGTCCACTACCTCTGAGTCTTATAATCTTTCCACCCCCTCTTCCACAATGATTTGTTGATTTGGGAGGAAAGACATGGTATTGACATCTGTTTTACAGCTGATCAATGAATAATTTCTTACTCTGTGCATATTGCTCAGATTTTGAGTCACTGTGTTAACTATTAAGTCACAGTTTTTTAATTTATTTTTATTTTATTTTATTTTTTTAATTAGTAACTTTTAAAAAAATGTTAATCAAAGGCTATATAAGTTTGGTAATGCCGGCAGATTGTCTCTGGGTCCCGAGACAAGACCATAAAGTTATGGAATACTCTGGGTGTCTGCAAGTACACTGTTCAGGACGAGAGTCATTCAGAATGGGTGTCTTGTGTTCGCTTCTCCCCGAACAGCAGCAACCCAATCATTGTCTCCTGTGGATGGGACAAGCTGGTTAAGGTGTGGAATCTGGCTAACTGCAAACTAAAGACCAACCACATTGGCCACACTGGCTATCTGAACACAGTGACCGTCTCTCCAGATGGATCTCTCTGTGCTTCTGGAGGCAAGGATGGCCAGGCTATGCTGTGGGATCTCAATGAAGGCAAGCACCTTTACACATTAGATGGTGGTGACATCATCAATGCCTTGTGCTTCAGCCCCAACCGCTACTGGCTTTGCGCTGCCACTGGCCCCAGTATCAAGATCTGGGACTTGGAGGGCAAGATCACTGTAGATGAATTGAAGCAAGAAGTTATCAGCACCAGCAGCAAGGCAGAGCCGCCCCAGTGCACCTCTCTGGCATGGTCCGCAGATGGCCAGACTCTGTTTGCTGGCTATACAGACAACTTGGTGCGAGTATGGCAGGTGACTATTGGTACCCGCTAAAAGTTTATGACCGAGTCTTAAAAATAAACTGGCTTTCTGAAAAAAAAAAATAAGTTTGGTAATGCGCAATAACAGGATGCCCATACAATCAGAAGTGTAACCCAATGCCCAAGCTAGATATACCAACTATCTTTGACTGGTGGAGACATGCAAACTTCCACCTCCATGTTCCCCTCCTCCCCCCTCTCTCTCATCTCCTATCTCCTCCTCTCCTTCTCCTCCTCCTCTCTTTGCTCCTTCTCTTCCTATCCTTACTCCTCCCACTTAGCTCCTCCTACATATCACCTTTCCTGTTAAAATAAAACTTTTCTCTCAAAATACAATTAAGGCACAACTATACCAATTTGTATCAGTAAGATACAAGATAGAACTAATACCCACTCCATCATTTTGTTGACTAACCAGAACCTCTGTCATCTCTCCTAACTAAAAGACTTAGTTCTGAACCTGGCTTTTTTCTTGGCTTTAGAATGGATGTAAGCTGAAAACCATCCTCTCAAGTCTTTTCTCTCAAAATAAATAGCCGAGATTGGCTATGAGACTATCAGTCTTCAACCCAGTCAGAAATCCAGAATGACTGAATTAACGGAAATTATGGGAAGCACAAAGCATAGCTTCTAAAGCTTAGCCAATTTATAGAGAGCGCTGAACACCTAGACAGTCCCTGTACTATAAAACGTTGGAGCATCCAATCTTCAGCCTTCTGGTCCAGGATCATCTGACAGACCTAGTGATGTAGAATTATTAAGGGCTGATTACTCTGTCTTGGCAGATATAATCAGTTGACTATTTGCAAGTGTGTCCTTTTCAGGACAGTAATTTGTCTGTAGATGAAAAGAGGCAATTCTTGCCTAGTGACTGTCTCACCACAATTGGAGTAACTCCAAAGACACTCAATTTCTTCTTAGAATCCAAGACAAGGAGCTGTAAGGAGCAGACAGGTCTCTAATCAAAATGAACCTTAATACAGAAATGTTTATAACGTCAATTCTGTGGACTTCTGACATTTTGAAAACCAACCATCCATGTAAGGCAATCTGGACTGTTGTCTGTTAACTCCTTTCAGCTATTTCTAAATAAAATATAGAAAACATCCTAACAATAAACTCAGAGCCATGAATTTGCTAAAGGCCCTAAACTTACAGGCTAACCTTCTGAAATCAGTTTAAAAAGTTAAAGAAGGACTGGATATAAGCCTTATATTCCTAAAAGTGTTATATAGGCACAATGCCTGTGAGAGTAACAATATTAATCTCACTTCTATATCAATAAGAAACTCATACCAATGAAAATCTTAAATTTGAAATCAAAGTAAATTTTGTACCATTTAAGAAATCATAACTTCAGCTTAATAACAATTATACAGATTTCTACCAATAGGTTATGGCTATGCAATAAATCCTAGCTATTCTTCCCTGTTCCAACAAAACTACTACTTTTCCCTAAAAAGACAGCCCAATATTAACCACCTCAGTCCCCAAGCCCAGGGAATAGGCACATCGATGCTCCATTAACTTCTTCAAGCTGATTAAGGGTGTTGAGCTATTAGAAGGGGGGGAGTAAATTGATAAGTCTATGACATCTGTGTCTTCACTGCATCCAGCTTCGATTCCAGGATCAGAGATTCAAGCAGGTCTGCTCAGCCTGCTTGATGAGTAGATACGCTAAGGCTGTGTATTCTGCAATATACAATTCTCAAAACAAATTTTAGTATCAAGCTATGTTTTGTATGAATTCTGGAATCTAGTTTTCAGGTGGCCTGTCTCTATCATATCTAATCCATATAATTCTGGGAGTTTTTATGAAGGTGTGCTTCCACCATCCTCCCATTCTCGCCTTCCTGCTCTCAAATTCTCCAACACTAGGGAATCCAAACTAACAGGTACCAAGGGCCCCCACTTCTACTGATGCCTGACAAGGCCACTCTCAACTACCTATACAGGTGGAGCCATGAGTCCCTCCCTTTGTGTTCTCTGGCTGGTGGTTTTAGAATGGCTACTCCAGCTTGTTTCTTAGGACCATTTGCTTGAAAAATTGTTTTCCAGCCTTTTACTCTAAGGTAGTGTCTTTCTTTGTCACTGAAGTGGGTTTCCTGTATGCAACAAAATGCTGGGTTCTGTTTACGTATCCAGTCAGTTAGTCTACGTCTTTTTTTATTGGGGAATTGATTCCACTGATGTTAAGAGATATTAAGGAACAGTGATTGTTGCTTCCTGTTATTTTAGTTAGTAGAGGTGGAATTATCTTTGTGTGGCTATCTTCTTTTGGATTTATTGGAAGAAGATTACTTTCTTGTTCTGTCTAGGGTATAATTTCCCTCCTTGTATTAGAGCTTTCCCGCTAATATCCTTTGTAATGTCGGGTTTGTGGAAAGATATTGTGTAAATTTGTTTTTGTCATGAAATATCTTGATTTCTCCATCTATGGTAATTGAGAGTTTTGCTGGGTATAGTACCCTGGGCTGGCATTTGTGTTCTCTTAGGGTCTGTATGACATCTGTCCAGGATCTTCTTGCTTTTATAGTATCTGGTGAGAAGTCTGGTGTAATTCTGATAGGTCTGCCTTTATATGTTACTTGGCCTTTTTCCCTTACTGTGTTTAATATTCTTTCTTTGTTTTGTGCATTTGGTGTTTTGATTATTATGTGACAGGAGGTATTTATTTTCTGGTCTAGTCTATTTGGAGTTCTGTAGGCTTCTTGTATGTTTATGGCCTTCTTATTCTTTAGTAGGGAAGTTTACTTCTATAATTTTGTTGAAGATATATATTGGCCCTTTAAGTTGAGAATCTTCACTCTCATCTATGCCTATTATCCTTAGGTTTGGTCTTCTCATTGTGTCCTGGATTTCCTGGATGTTTTGTGTTAAGAATTTTTTGTATTTTGCATTTTTTTGACATCTGTGTCAATATTTTCTATGGTATCTTCTGCACCTGAGATTCTCTCTTCTATCTCTTGTATTCTGTTGGTGAAGCTTGCATCTATGACTCCTGATTTTTTTCCTAGGTTTTCTATCTCCAGGGTAGTCTCCCTTTGTGATTTCTTTATTGTTTCTACTTCCATTTTTGTGTCCTGAATGCATTTGTTCAATTGTTTGTTTGTGTTCTCTTGTAATTCTTGAAAGGATTTTTGTGTTTCCTCTTTAAGGGCTTCTACCTGTTTACCTGTGTTCTCCTCAAATTCTTTGAGAATGTCATTTATGTCCTTCTTAAAGTCCTCTATCGTCATCATTAGAAGTGATTTAAAATCTGAATCTTGCTTTTTTGGTGATATGGGGAATTCAGGACTTTCTAGTGTGGGAGAACTAGGTTCTAATGATGACAAGTACCTTGGGTTGCTGATGTTTATGTTCTTGCACTTGCCTTTCGCCATCTCGATTGTCACCTTAGTGCCACCTGCACTGTCTCTTACTGGAGCCTGTCTTTCCTATTATCTTGATTGTTTCAGAACTGTGTGGGGTGGGTGTTACTACTGGGGTTAGAGCTAGGGCCCAAGCTCTGCTCAGTGCTCAGGGCCCAGACTGGAAGGAACCAGTGCTCCAGGCCAGGAGTGAATTCCTGGGTCCTAATGGGTCCCAGTTACTCCCTGTTTGTATGTGGGGGGTGCTCTCTCCTTACCTAAAATACTGCCCAGGTTAGAGCTCCTGGGAGGCCCACTTCCTCTGGGTTTTGTGAGATTGGGTGCAGAGCTGCTGCCAGGGATTTGCTCAGTGCTGAGTCCCTATTTTTATATTTACACACTTACATACACATAAACACACAAACATACACGTATATATTATATATACATATATATGTATATATACACAGATATATGTGTACATATATGTTCTCTGAAAAGTGTTGAAATATGCTCTAATCTATAGACATAAAGATAAGGACTTAGGGGGAAGCTGATTACTATGTCCATCTAACAGAATTAAGGAAATTACTATTCTGTCTTAATTTTTCATTCCCTGATTTACTAATGGAATTAAGTATATTTTTCCATTTGTGAATCATGTATGTTTCACACCTACTGTCCCTTTCTCTACAATATTTCTTTTTTATTTATAGACAATCTTTTTACATAAGAATACTAATTACCTAACATTCTAATGTTTATCATCTCTCCAGCATAGACTTTCTCATTTTCTCTTGGTAACCACTTCCTTCAGAAATAAGTGAGGAACTGAGCTAGAGGCTTACTCTCTCCTGACCAACTTTCACAGTGACAGAAGTAGGCTGCTGAAGAAGAAGCAGCCTAAATTGGCTTATGCACAAAGCAACCTTAGAAACAATGTCCACCTTCCAGGGAAGGTGTACCAACTGGTACAATAGTGACATAACTGTTATAGGAGCAACCAAACATTTTATGATTGATTTTGAGGCCTTTTCCAGAAGATAAAATCCATTTCTGGTGCTGTAATCCCAATTAAATATTCATGACTGAGATTACCATAAGATGTGTTGTTTGGGACAGCCTACTGGTGTCTAACTAAATTAAAACAGCATTAAGATGCCTTCTAAATACTTATGGCTATACCTATATACAGTCTTAAACCAAGAAATTTCTCTTTACATTGAAGATGATGAACACAAAGACACTTGGTGCTCAAGATACTGAGGATGAGTGCTCAGCCCTCATAAAACATTCATTGCTTCTAAGGACTAGGAAACATAGAGCAGGGTCTAGGGAAAAATGTAAAAGTCCCGAATGTAGGAAGAAGAGTTTTACAATATATTCTTCTAAGCATGATACAATCAATGAAATCATTTCACAGAAGCTGTGCCTGCCAGAAGGGGCTATGTAAGACTTGGACTCTCAACAGTAAATCATAAATCAGGGAAAAGTGTGTCCAGAAACACATACGTCACGAGGTGGTTAATGTAGTTTATTGTGGTATGTGTATGCCACTGTATGAATGTGGAGGTCAGAAGACAACTTTTCAGGAGTTTGCTTCCTTCTATCTTGTTTTTTGAAGCATTGTCTCTCTTATGATTTCTGTTACTGTATTACATATGGCAGCTTCTGGGCAATTGTCTCATCTTGGTTTTCCATTTCTGTGATGAG